GTCCTCTTAAAGATCCAGCCGATCCCATTCCCATCTCCTGCACCTCAGCCTTTATGGGTACAACATATGGCCACACAGCCTGACTCTTTAAGGGCCTCTAGATATGACATAATTTTAAAATCTCTAATCTCCTAGTGGTCACTTCTGTTTTGTTTAAAAAGCCTAAATAGATTAAAGGCAGGCTTTCCTTTTGAGAGTCTCCATTACCTGATTCATACATCAAGCAAGTAGGGATGGTTTGTATGGATGTATCATAAACAGCATGTGCACTCACCAGATGAAAGCACTGGAAAAAATGAAACTCCGGGTATGCTCATTACACCAAAACTCTAGTAGGCTGCCTTGAATAGCCTTGAATGCCTTGAATTTCCTGGGATTGCCCAGATACTGTGGCTCCAAAGCAATCCCTCTGTAGCCTTTCCTGTCAGAATAGGCTGCTGCCTGCTGCTGCAGATAAAGTTCTGGGGAACAGCAAGGGCCAATTTCTCCCTCAGGGAAGGTGAGTTGGGAACTGAGGGTGAACTCAGCACAGGCAGTGCCCTTACTGATGGGGCACAGTCCACATCTGAAGATGGTGGGCAGAGCCGGGTCCTGGTAACAGAGTGCATCCTAGAAAAGGCAAGCGATGAACCAGGTCTGGGTCCATTCAGGGAGGCCAGTCAGGAAGAAAAGGAGACGGGGCCAAAGACAGGACTGGAGATAAGCATCCTACAGTGTAGGTCCAGAGTCCATGCAGGAGGCACAGCTGGAGACAGGTCCACCGGTGGTGTAGCTCAGGCAGGGACTGTGGGCCTAAGGCTGAACTCAAATGGAGCTCCTGGGCCCTGGGCAGGGGTGGGTGGATGTCCCTGGTGGGGTTGGTCAGGGCCAGTAAGGCCTAGTGGTGCCTGAATGGTGTCAGGGTGCTGACATAAAGATGAGTCAGAGTCACCTTAGGAGCAGAAGGGGACAAATGAGGCCTTTGCACAGCTGGTTCAGGAAACATGCAGGTCTGTTCTTTTATCCAGTTTTGGAGTACCAATCAGTAAATCACAGCTGCTAAGACTTATACTGTCAGTTATAATTGACACCTAATTGGTCCTTGCCCTTTCTCTCCTGATAGCCAACTGTAAGTATTTCTAAATCTCCATGTTTGTGTGCAGCTGGCAAATTTCTAGCAGGGCCATAAATGGTTTCTTTGCAGCATTCATCAGCTTTTTCACAGGGCATCTCAAACTGGTAATCTTATCTTTAGCAGAAGGCAACAGAGCCCACAATGCACCACCGTAGTTCAGCAATGGAATAGGCACAGTACTCAGAGATTTAACAGCACTGGAGAGAGAACTGCTGGTTTTAGCACCGGTAGGCCAATCTGAAGGCACTGTGCAGGCTGTCTCAGAGAAGGAATACTCACCTGACATAAGCAAAATGGGTAACACACACAGCAGTTCATTAGCTAGTCACATTAACAATTACAAGTAAAGCATAGCATGAGCTAGGACTTTCAAAAGGGTTTTGCTTATTTTAGCCCGCTGTTTTAAAAGTAAACTACTACATTTGCTTCCCAGAAGATGGTCATGAGCCTGTTCCTCGTTCCTGAGAGAATCTCCACAGAAGAACTGCGTTCCCTTTAGTTACTCAAAAAGCTCTGTTATAGCTATACTGCCCCACTGTACTAGACTTGAGGGATTCCTCTGGGAGTTCTTAGGCTGGCGAGAAGAACCGGAGTTCACGTTTTTCGAAATTGTTCAGAAATCGCTTTTATTCAGCAGAAATCATAAGATGACTATTTTTTTCTCAACTGTAATCTGTTCACAATTAAAAATAAATAAATCTAAATGAAACCAAACCAACTCTACACATTTCTTACTACAGCAGTTATGAAGTCCCTGGCAATCTAAGAGCCGCGGTCCAAGGCAGTGCAAAGCTAGATGGCTTTGTGCTGTCTACACAGGTGCTGCATTTAGGGCTGCACAAGACAGAATCCCAATCCCTCAGGGTACAGGACATGAGCCTCCCAGAACTCACTCCCCAGGACTGGTGCCCAGTCTGGCTGTAGACTTTAGCTTGGAAGGTACCATTCTTTAATAGTACTTGCGTCCCTTTCTAACCCTAACAGAAAACTGGTTCAATTGCCTTCTGGGAGGCCTTGTAAGAGCCTGCGCCTACATTTCTTGTCTTGGTTACTGCATTTGTCTTGCTGTAGCACAATATGATTTTGTCTGTTGTCTCTTGTACAGCACACAACAGAGGGGCTGCATGTGATGTTTCTTTCTTGTGATACCGGGGTACTAAAATTGCCCTGTTTGATACTTTAGACATGGCTAGGTTCCCCTTCACATTTGAAAGAAGATCTAGGTCTGATCTGTGTGGAAAAACAAGACTTGTCAATTGCTATCCGGTGTATACTTGATACTATTCCACTTGCATTAGAGCCATCCCTGCAAGATGACTCAATGGCTACACTTTGCAGTTCCAACCACTCGGCCAATTCTTTCTTCTGGCAGATAAGGTTTTATTTATTATTGGCAAAATCTAGCATGGCCCCTCTCCAACGCTAAAAAATCATGATGGCCCTGATTTTGCAGCAGTAGGATCTAGCTTTGGAGTTAAAATGGAATACGCTCTAGAGACACAGAGGAGGTAGAGAGAGGAAGCCTATTGGATTGCTTACTGGACAGTTTTAAGTGTTAGGAAATTCGAGGAGACAAAACTCAACACCTGTCTTAAGAAGGATGTTTTTCATTTCTCAAGTGTCTGCACAGTGTAATATGCCTTAAGAAACCACAAACTAGGCAGGTTTATGACTGTAACGAATAAATAAAAATGGCCATACTGGTTTAGAGCAAGGGGCTATCTTTCACAGCTCCCTGTCTCCACAGCGACTATATGTGGATGCCCCGGTTAGAGTAGGAACAGAACAACTATATAGGGTACTCTTCCCAAGCGCTCTCCTAGACTCTCACTCTTCAGCTGAGGAGATTTCCCACGCCACACGTGGCCTGTCTATTTAAAACCCTCCCCAATGGTCTATCATCGAAGTATGTGTCCCCTTGAATCCACATATATTTTTTGCATCCTCAATATCCTTTAGCAAAAAGTTCCACAGATCGACTGACTGCGTAGAGATTTTGTCAAATGTTTTTGAGTGTAAAATGTATTTGGTTCCTGGGCAAAAGGGCTTATGACTCTCCAGTTTCTCTGCTATGACCAGCTCCTCAGTGACTAATCCCTCTCCTTGCGAATCTTAGGGAAACTTCCAAACAGAGCTGAAGAAGCAAAAGAGACTTAGCTCTTCTCCCTGCTCTTTCAGAAAGTGGACTCTGCCTCACACAAAAAAGTATGTATTAAGACCAATGATAGTTTATACTGAGGAGACGCTCCCAGCTAAACTGGTTTAGAAGGCGAGGTGCTTGTTCATGTACTGACAGAAACTTTCGTGTGTTCATTACCCAACTGTGTGTGAACTGTTTTTCAGGAAAAAAAAGAGCAGGAAAAACTTTGGTTTCTGCAGATACCTGCGCCCTCACTGGTAGAGACATAATCCATAATCAAAGTCTTAAGAATTGTTTAGGCAAATCAGACACATGACATTCTTTCAGGTGCCTTCACTGGCTGAAGAACTGAAGTTCCAAAATACGTCCTGATATTTTGCAGCAGATTGCCTGTCCTTTGCTTCAGGCAATAAAGGCGGAAAGAACTGCAATGTATTTTGTGCCTGGCAGGATTCGCTCTTCCTAAAATTTGCATCTTGGTTTGCTGTCTTGTTTTTGCTGGGCCTTGTGGCTTTTGAGGGGAGCTTCTTCTTCATTTTTCTTTCTTCCTTGCTTGAACTGCTCTTTGCATCAGGATCATGACCTGAGTCAAAAAGGAAGAAAAAACAAATCCATAACAACTGCTAAGGAGTTACTTTCCTAAAAAAGTACATGGCTTTCGTTTCGTTCACAAGAAACTGGTATTCTGGCAGAAATATGCGCTTCCTTTACTAAAGGAAAATCACAGTATAATTCATAATCTAGTATTACCGTGTAAAACCTTCTGCCATAGGCACAGGACCTGGTTCTATTGCTCCAGCATTATGATCTTCTATTGACCCTTATTAAAGGATTACTTCCAACAGTTCACAGAGTCATAACATACAACCCTTTATGCTATGCTGATACATATGACAAGCTATGAACTAACAGCTAGAGCCTCTCCCACCAGGAACTGGAGAAGAATAGTGCAGGGTCAGAGGCATTATCCTTTGCCTTTAGGTCGAGATTTTTCAACCCCTTTTCAGTGAGCTGCTCAGCAGGAAGATGTTAAAAAGCTTTTGGACCTCAAGGGTCTCAGCTGGAAGGCTCAATGAAATCAGTTCTGCTATCCTCCAGAACGCGTCAGCTACTTCTGAGCGCATAGGAGTTTTCCAGCACTGTTACTGGTTACTGCTACCATCTGTCTTAGGGCTTTCAGTACCTTGAGATAGCTAGACTAAGAAACCCACCAAGCAGAACCAAATCCTGTTGTTGTGAATCTAGAATAGAACAATAACTGAAAAACCTTTTGAATATTGAAATGTCTTCTTTGGAGAGTTGGAGACACTTTTGCTTTCATAGTTCTTCATCTTCTGGGAGATCAGATTAAAGCTGGATGAATGGAAAATTTCTCTTGTAGATAGGACTACAGCATGGGACACACGTTTTTTTGACTCCTGTGACATAGATGGCTTTTCATGATTACCTTCAGCACCATAGGTAAGTCTCTTAGAGCTAAAACACACAGAGGCCAAAAAAAATTTTATCTCCACACAAATTAATGACAAAATATACATAAAGATGACAGCCTAGAAAAAGAACATCATTACAGTTAAAATTCCTGCTACTTTAGTCTGAAGCATTTCCTGAGGATCATATGGGGGGGGAGGGGGAAGTTATTTACTGTACTTCAAAATACACAGAACCACAATGCCATCGTATTATCTTAAGGGCAGTAGCCAATATCACATAGCCACTATCCCTTCCAAGTCAGAAGCACTCATCACAGAAGCAGCAGAGGTTAACCTTATCATCCTAAAATTAAACAAAAACACCAAACACATTTCTCTCCTCTTTCTCAGGGGAAAGCCTAGGATTTTCTAGTTTGAGTACCAAAGTCTGAGCTGTAAGGTGCAAAGCAGTAGTCCTTGAATTAATTTGGTGCGAACAAATTAATATATCTTATTTCATAAGGTGCCTGTGGCAGGATTCACTGCAGTCTGACTATCTAGCCAATTCCACTTTGCTCTGACTGCCCAGCAACAGCCAAGTGTACACCGGGCAAGATCAAAGCATTTTATCCTATCAGTAGGTAGGTATTTATGAAAGTAGTCAACACTGATCATCAGTGTTATTGCCACAGCGTCTTACACACCTGTAAGAGAGCACAGCCTTCACTGTTCACTGCCAAAGAATCAGAACCTGCAAGTGAAGGGAATGCACTAGCAACGAGCTACATACCAACACCATGATAGTATTATGATTTCAAGTGCAGTAGATATCAAACCATATTAAAACTAGTAGATGTCCTGTTTTGGACTGCCTGTGCCACCTAGCCCAGCCCATCCTTTGTTCCCTGACCTATGCCCCTGTTTCTCAGTAGCAGCACTGCCCTATTTTCTCCTTCCTGCCTAAGGCAGCAGCAATCTTCCTTCGGCAAAGTGCCAGATCAGTGTCTGTGCCCCTGTGAGGCCAGCAAGGGTGAGGAAAGAAGGGCTGTGTACTGAAGGAGAGGGTCTGGCACTCCAGATGGGATGGAAAAAGAAGGGGTCTCTGCTTTGCTAGCATCACCTTGCACTGCAGTCTCCACAACAGGATGAAGAGGCCAAGGACAGCTGTTTTAGTTTGTGAGGGAATGAGGCACAATGTCACAGGAGCACAAAAAGGAGGAGGGTGGATTCTGAGAAATCAGGCTGGGATCATTCTCTCACTCCTGCTTTGTATGAAAGGCTAGGAGCGTTTCAAAGATTATACTCTCCTACCTGAAGCACTCTCCTACTTGCTTCACAGAGGCTGTAATTGGCATTTTTACTGTTAAAAAAAAAAAAAGTGCATGTCAGAGCTCTAAAAAACCACAGCAACGCAATCAAACATTCAAATTTTATCTTGGCTAGTTCAGGCTCCGTGGTTGCCTGAGGTGGATAAGAGTTACTGCAAGTAGACATCCCTGGACATCAAGCCACTTCCTCAGATACTGGAAATATAAACTTAAGGCAGTCAGTTCTGGGGGGTTAAGACTTTCCTCATATTGAGCAAATTCAAACTCACATTCCCACCTCCTCTTCTTCTTCTATTGCCTAACAAAGGGAATTTTGGGATGGTGACACTGCTCAGCTCCCGCTGAAACTGTTCTACTATGAGTAAAACTGTAGGTCAACAAGTGAAGATGCCAAAGACAACATGATTCTCTAGTTCTGGTAAGGCTGCAGTTCTGTTGAGAAGTATGTTCTCAGTCCTAGTTTCTGCTCCAAGGAGTGCAACTGTATGTGACGTTCAAATAACACCAGACAAAACCCAGTCTTTACAGCAGGGACTGCTCGGTGGACGATGAAGTTAGACTGGAAAGTCATGTACTCTCCTATTTTCTCCTTTCCACGCTTCTCTTTTTTTGGACTGCACGATTGCCTGGTCAATCTCAATAAGTGGAAATGCTTTATTGGACTATCAGAGAAGAACAGAGATCCACAACTACAGAGTCTAGGTCTTAGGGACTTTCCCACTAGGAAGTGGGAAAATATAGGTTTTAATCCCCTAGGCTGAAGAAGAAATAACACTGAGCTGTGCCTCTCACTGGTAAGCACTCTAATCTCTAGGCTTCTAGTGAGAATGACAGCTACACTACCACTACAGAAAGTGATGCACATAGCTGCACTGTGTGTGGTGTTCACTCTGGTAGAGTCATAGTAGATGTCTCTAGAGTATGTATACTAAGGTGGGAGTGGGAAAGAAGAAGAGGTGGTGCCAGCTTATTGATCTTGATGGGAGATGCATTTTCATGAGCTGCTCAGCTGCCAGCGGTTATTCCAGGATAGCTGGCTGTGATAACGATGAGATGTCCTCAGGCAGCAGTGTAAGAGTGCAAGCACTCAGTAAATCTGGAAGTAAGTAGGCTGGCAACCTACAGAGCATTGGTGCTGCTGCATTGAGGCAGCAGCAGAACTGATATTCCAGCGCAGGTGAGATAAAAGTGCGTGAGTCAGAGCAACCTTTAGGTGACAAAACATTTCCTTTCAGGTACATATATAGCACCTATCTTCACTACAAACTCTGCTAATGTAACTAACAGTATTTAGACTCCCATAATCTATGGGATTTGGAGACTATCAACTGTATGATCATCTCCACCTGCAAGGTTTTGGGCAGTTTTCCAGACCTGTTTAACTGCAATTTCTCCTAGTCCTTACCTCTGTGCTGGCTCTTTTCTTCCTTCTCCCTTGACCTGCTCTCCATCTTTGGAGAATGACATCCAGAGACTGATCTAAGCCCTCCTCTTTCACTTGCATAGCACATTTCTTGAAGAGCAGTAGGAGGAAGAAAAAGATTCTGGGATATAAAGTGTTCTATAGGCTGGGGGATAGTACTCCAGTCCAGTTCTAAAAACAATAACAAAGTAATAAGAGTAGTTAGTCGAACAGGATTCTTTTTTTTTTTTTTTCTTCCCTCTAAGCAATGTCAATTCCAGGAAAGCTAGAAGAATGTAATCTGTTATATTTTTACCCTTGGGCATCTTACACAATGGCTAGGAACAGCTGCAGCTGGGAAAGAAAGTGCTTGAAAGTCTCCCAAGACTGCAAAAAGCTTTAAAAATTCATGTGATTAGTGAATACTCAAGTTCCTTATTAACCTCCTCTTTGCAGGCAAGCCCTGAGCAGTCATAGCACTTAAGTGCACTTAACCATACAGACATTGAGCGTCCCATAAAAGTTAGTGACAGCTATAATTACTTATGCCTAAAGTTAGAGGCTGGGGAAGAAAGAGGGAGTCACTTTTTACTTCATCATTCCCTCCATACTGCAGATAATTCATGTGTCTTGTTTCTCAAAACGTGGATTCCCCTTGTGTCGGCTGTGTGACAGGCAAGGCTCCTGGCACTAAGCAGCAGATGAAGGCCACCTCTTCTTAAGTGGCAAAATCACTGCTACAGCCTCGGTCCCTGGTATCTCTCTAACATCATGACCTGGCGGATGCAGCTTACCAGTAGACTGTGGAGCAGATTAGCTGTGCTTGGCTTTACTGCTGCAGCGGCAAACTATTATAAAAGTTTCATGATCTATAGGTGAGATAAAGCAGGTCTCTCAGTGTATGTGAAGGCATGTCCCTTGGACATAAATATAATTACAATATTTTGAAGCTCCTTTTATTGCAAACAAAAAGGTGCCTTCTGCAGTTGATGTAGAATTTCATTAATAACATTTAGCACACAAGCTGAAATGAAACCCAAAATGAAGAAGGGGAGGGGCAGGTTAAAACACAGGAAAATCTTCTAATTATCTTTACATAGGTTTAAAAAACGTGTTAAGAACACAGAATCCCCTCTGTCAGTGAGTCCTGTTTGACATCTCAGAACAGTTTTGCTTGTGACAAGAGCGAGGCAAAACCAAAACATTATATTTCAATGACTGTATTTGGATGTTCTGCTGAAGGTAAGCGTTTTACCCAGCTCTTGGGAAAGAAAAGTTTTCTTTTCAAATTGGATTTAGTCTGGAGCATTACTGTAACGAATGCTTTCTGTTCTAGCTTCACGGGGCCAATGCGTATGTTATTACAACCGAGTGTATCCTACTGCCAATAGCAGCAAATATTTATTTTTGCACCTCTCTGGAAGTTGCCTTGGGTTGAGTTTTTCTCCAATGAAACTGCTCCCAGTCAGTGAAATACAGCCTAACAATGTGATGAAGACAGTTTAAACTAAGGAAAAACGAGCACTTCCAAATACTGATACTAAGTGAAATCCCAGCCAAAAAACTCTACTTATCTTTTTAGAATACACTTTTTTATTGAGGTATGAGATTATAGAAAAAATGGCTTATTGCGATTTTAAGACTTAAAAAAACATACAATGTTTACCTCTTTCTACTGGGTCAAGTTCCTGAAATATCTTATGTAATGTTTCAATGCCTTGAGTCTGTGAGAAAGAACAGAAACACAAAAACATTACGAATATTATTAAGTTCCAGGAGACTGAATGACAACAGGTACTATTCAACAGCCACTGGTGCTCTGTAGTTTATTCAAGGAGTGTAAATTATGCTAGGACAGGGGAAACTTGGTAAGGGTTCAGTAACTAGTTCAAGCGGGAAAAGGTTAATATGTAAAGGTGAGGTTGATTATTTATTTATTTTTAAGTAGAAAGCAAGCTAAAAAAGCATTCAATATTCAAAAGCTCAGAAAACTCAGCAACTCCTGTTGCCTTTGCAACCTTCTGGGTGTTCAACATTTTAAAAAAATTTAAGTTAAATTCCTTTTTATGAAAGTAGGAACATAACATTAGATTCTGTTGTTTTCATCTTGGATTTTCCAGTGCTTGCCAACTACAATCAGGGTCACATTTTTCTAAATAGTTATGCAAAATGCTGAACAATAAGAATGGAGAAGTGATGTGTTAAAAAAAGATCTTATACCAATTTTACCAACTATCCTGATGATGACACTTTTATTAAAGTGATGCTAGTAGCTAGGTCAGCTAATAAATGCCGAGCACCAAATTACATCCTCTGAAAGGTAAGAAGGGACATGACTCATCTTTACAAATATTGCAAGTGAAAATATTTCAGAGCTGGAGCTTGGCAAAGAATTAATTCAAATTAATTAGAAAAATTACTGCCCGTTTCCCTAAATGCCCCATGACTTTCCCCTTTCTCTCCTCTTTGCAACACTGTCTTAGACTGAAAAACACAACAGAAAATGTTTTAACAGATTTGGCAAAACTCTTCTTCAACGAAATTAGAAGGGAAACAGAAACTCCCAGCTGAGGGAGTGAGGTGTTAGTAATTTTGGAGCCTGAAGAGAAGCTGGTATAATCTCCAGCTCCAAGGCATGCTCCTTGACAGAAAGATCGAAAAGGATCAAGTAATACATTAACAGAGATAGAATTTCACCATTTGTTCCTGCCCCACACTTGTGGATGTTGACACTTCCATTTTAAAAGAAACCTGTGGCATAAATTAGATGCAATTGTCAATAAAGAGCAACGGCCTTTCCAGGTCAGTGATTTCTGGTGACAAAATTGTTTGTCCAAATTTACAGTGGTTGAATTAAGTTGTCATATATCACTTTCCGGCCAGAAAAAGAGCACAATATATTTCTACTGGGATGAAAAATGCTCACATTGTTGCTTGCAAGGCTTCTGTCCTTAGCAATCCTGCGAAAACGTTCTCTTGATGTTTTGGTTTTATTCTGCACAGAAAAAAAATATGTAACTATTTTGATTCGTGGGGGAGTATCAAGGTTACAAAAAAAAAAAAAAGAGTTGTAAATAAACATGATAATCACAATGCCAGAAGGAACACATACAAAACTGCTCCAGACTGAATTCCTTATGCTCTTCTGTTCAGCAAATATTTATGAACCTGGACAAAAACATGTCATACTGACAAGGGACCTCATTTCCTACTCAATTTGGGATGTTTATTTTTAGTCTGGGAACCTGAAGAACCAGGGTTTCTCAGTAGTATTAATTGTCACTGCTCTGTTTTTCCAGTGCTGGGGCTCCTGAAAAGAAAGACTGGCATACAACACAAGAAGCCTGGGAAGCAGTAGTCTACCCATCGAACCAATGAAAGTACTAATTAAATCAGCCAGCATTATAATGTAGTACATGTATATTAAAAAATATTATCCATGAAAATATTAATGTGACCTCTTCTTTCCAAATGACAATTTGCTTTCTCTAGGCAACAGTAGTAGTGCTCCTGTTTTGCATCTGGGGGGGCCGTATTCTAGGCTGAACGTGAACAAAATGCAGCTGAGGATTACAAGCAGCTTTAGCACAGATCTCTGTCAAGATGTCTCCTATACCTGTGATATTCCTTGCCATTCACTTTTTTCAAAGGCCTTTAAGAACTTCTGTGGGAAATTCATCAAGAACAATAACAGAAATTTTGGTAAGTCTTCTGATCTAATCATCTGAAATAGTCACTGAAATAGATCCACAAGAGAAGACACACATAACCAGGAAAAGGAGAAAAGAAAGAAGTTCCTCGCAGGAACTGTGCTGTGCTGTTCTTTCAAACTCCCTTGATAAACTGTTGTTACTTTCTTTAAGTAATAACAGTATCAGTTTGATGTGTTCTGCTCCTATTATACATATAGCAAAAGTTCTTTAATCCATTTGCCTAAAAGATGTTAGTCTTTGCCTATGTTTCAGCATAGAAATTACAGAAGAAGATACAGTGAAGCTCCGTTTAACTACTAGTTTTGCAACATATACTAGTGTTTATAGGTACTGGCAGAATGTGAAGCTCAGGCATAACCTTACAAAACGAAGCTCTTATGTGGCCAAAGCCCTGCTCATCACCTCCTAACACAGGAATGCAATGGGATGGGCTCTGTACCCAAAGGGATCTCCGCTGGTGAAGCCTGTTCTTTATTTTATATTAAATTAGTGGGTAATTTATAAAGTGCAGTAACTTTAAAAATAAGGAGGTTCAAGTAATGACCTCAAAGCTGTGCTTTCACAGACAGCTGAGATCTCTTAATGGCTTTCAGCTGCTGAAGGAGAAAGTCTCATTTCCTTTGCCCTTGGTCCTTTCTCCCTTCCACTCCCTAAACTGCCACTTTAGTCGTTCCTCCCTTAGCTACGGTGTTTTGCTACATCTCTTAAGCTGGCTCTGATGCTCTCAATAAGATCTTCCATGAGCTGATTTAACACATTAATCCGGAAGAAAACTGTGTCATTCTTGTTGCTGGCTTTGTTTGCTCTCAGATTACTGTGTTAAATCAGGTCAAGGAAGGGACTGAGAGAAGTGGAAGGAATACACAGCTAGGAACGTGGCAGGAGGAGAGAAGGGAAGACAGCAAGTGACGAACTGTTAAATGGCTTATCACATCACGTGAAAAATCTTTTGGGTTGGGGAATATTCTAATCTGCTGTTTAGCACGTGCATGGCCTCTAAAGTAATTAAGCTTTACCAAATGCTCTTGTGTGGGTTCTGCATAGCTCTTTTCAAGTGTTTCTAGGGAGGCATCTCTGTCCCTGTTTCTGGATGTTTCTTTTTGTATATTACCTAACAAGTCTGTTTCCTGAGTCTGAAAATCCCCTGCAATCATGATTATCCCAAAGGGTTCCACATCTCCAATATCTTCTGGATAAGTCATCTTTCATCCCAAGCCATGGGATGACTACCAGGCACACATGATGCAATGATGAACTAAACGAGTTACGTGGCAGTCAGCTCAACCTGCAACTATACCACAGACATCAGGCAAACTTGCATACTTTGTTTTGTATATAGCATTTATAGACTAAAACAAAATAGTGCTTATAGACATCAGAAAAAAACTAGAATCAATCCCACTGACGGGTATGGTGAGTCTTTCAACGCAAACAAGGTTATTCTTAGCAAATCAGATGGAAAGGCTCAGCATTTTCGGCAGATTTTTCACACTATTCTCAAGTTGCCAGTCCTCACAGCTGCCAGTCCCATGTCACACCCTTATACGCACAGGCATACTGCAAGCCTGATGAGAGGAAACTGGGTAAGAAAGCATGAAGGGCTGAGAGGTACTAAAAAGGCTAGCGTATTTGGTGTTAATCAGGAAATGCTGCTAGCTTTAGAGTCCATTATTCATTCATATCATGCCGAGATTTTCATGAATTTTTTAAACCCTACGTCAATTTACCATTCACATATCAGTAAATTCAATCCCAAAGGAAGCCCTGTAAGAACAAGCAAGAAGGAGGATACATTAAGGAGTAAACCTCTCAGTACTCATCCCTTCTCTGCATACTTTCACTAGTCCTCTGCTACTTACAACATACAGCTGCAGGCATTCTACTGCGCAGATTTTTGGTCTGACCCACTGCGGCTGACACACTGTAAATGGCCCTAGCAATAATAATAACATAATAATATAATAAGAAGAAATTATGTGACTTGGTGAGCTTGGTTTGCTGCACAAACAAAACAGAGGAAGAAATTTCAAGCTGTGGTAAATATTAAAAGCCAACACCACTATCAAAATCCTTCCATCAGACATTATTACTTCCCCAGGAGGGCTGGCGGAGTGGAAAGCTGCTTGGAGCTCACCTCCCATAAGTACAAAACCTAGTAGCATCGCTTAAACTCTGGATAACAGTGAAACTAAGTTGAGCTGTTAGACTCTGCACAAATGCGTGCTCTCCATGTAGCTCTTCCAGAGACACATATGTGGGCAGAGCACATAAAGGGGCCTGTGGCAGCTTCCCTCACCACAACTGAACTCATCAGAGCTTATCTGACTACCTCCTGTTTCAATCTAGCATCACTGAAACTAGATCCAAAACTCCAAATCATGCAAATTGTCAACCAGTCATCGGAAATGCTTATCTGCCTATGTTTTGAAAAGTGATATGGGTGGTCACTTCAGTTTTACACCCCTTTGTTTTAGTACCACAGCTTCCCCTTTTACTTTTGTATATTTATTGTATTTATGTCACAAACAGGAAGTAACAACTTACAGGAACGATTCTTGTTGGCTAAAATTCACTCACAAGCTTTCTAAAAGTAATACTCACACAACAGTTGGTTTTGCTCATCCGCAGCAAACACCTCAAGTACTATTATGGCAATCCCAGGCACCAAAGAAATAAACATCAAGTAAACAAAGACCAAAAAAAAAATTTCAATCTGTTCCTGTTTAGCAAGACAAGTAAATATATGCTTTAACAAAACAAAATGTCTCATTGCCTTCAAGTGAAAGCACTTTGTAAAATCTGGGGCCAAATTTGCCTGCCAGGATGGAAGTAGGCAATTGGGCAGGTTCAGTCTTATGCTGACAGCACTAGCACCAGTGTCACGACTTGCCCGTATGTGTAAGAAGAGAACACAACTCCTGAACACTCTGAACTGAGTATTTGCAAAATGTGGCTGACATCAGTGTACAAACAGGCATGATAATACTTTCTGTGCTAAAAGCTGGGGTCCTCATCCTCACTCTGAGGATCGAAGTCTGCTACACAGCTGTACTGTGGAATCTTGACAGGTAGAGAGCTGCGTTTTTTTAAAACTAAAACACCAGCTTCTGGACAATCGTGGGCAAAGCTGTAGGGAAAAGTAATAGTATTGATCTGCACTGTTAATCTGAACTGCATCTCTATAGACTACATAGATCATTTACAATTATCAGTTACCTAATTGATTTCTTAACTATTATTCTGACTGATTTAATTCCAGGCTTCTTCAAAATAGAATTAATTGTAAATTCTTTCCTAACAATCAAAAAAAATTCATAGCATACCTTAGTACCTAGTTTTAGCTGGTGCGCAACAAGATCACAGGAGTCTGAGCTGTCAGAAGTTTGGGTGCTGCGAAAGACGAGCATTGTTTTGTTTTATTTCCAAATTTGGTGACTGCAAAGAATTTTTTTCTGACTTCATAGCAACCATTAGCAGGTGTAGTAACCCTAGCTGTAGAGATGTAAATATGTTTTCCACATGTCTGTCTTTCAGATCTATATTTTAGTTTTACAGACCTACAGTTAACCCACAAAAAAGCGGGCATCCTCATTTTAGAGGGAGGCTGGTTGTTGGAAGAGATCTGATCTGTCCAGATGGCATCTCCTGTTTACAGCTAGCTTTCTTTCAGTTCCACTTCGCATACCTTCCCCTCTTAAACCCTCTCATAAGCTATCATCCTCTTTGTCCCCAGTGAACTTTCTGTAAGTTCTCTGATGATGCATTAAGATACTGTGCCTCTTCATTTCCTTGCATTTCAGCATTAATTGTAAAGCTCAGCTGTTGATTTCTATATTTTATGCACCTGAAGTTAGATGAGATGGATCTAACCCATTAATGTTTCCCTAAAAAGAATTCCACTAAAGTTTTAGACCTTAGGGCCCACAGCCTTTCATAATACATAAATGCCTGTCTCTCACAAATCACCTGCACAACTGGTCCTGCTGTCTCTCACAGTCAATACTGGCACAGAAGGAGCTGATTGTTTTTAATGAGAAGTGTATTGCTTGGTCAGACTCTTGCACTGCTATCAATTACCCTGAAATTATCTCCTTTGGCTAAACAGAATCAGTCTTCCATTACCTTCCATTAACCTTCCCTGGTTAATGAAATTACATATATACAAAAAACAAAACAATATACCTTATACTATGGCTAGACTGTTCTGCAAAATGTCAGGCTGAAAAAGAGCACATTGATTTAAGTGATGCGATAGACCAAGCTCTGTACCAGTGTGTTTTAATCTCTCTTCACGAGCCTTCTGAATCCCACACCATGTGCAGCTTTCCTTTGAAGGACAGGGTCAGCTTGAGCAGATATAGAGCTCTACTCCCAACTAACGGGTTACTAAGGTTCGTATACTAAGATTTGTGTGTAGCCATCTTATAGGAGGGCAAATATTAAGGGTTTAATTTTAATAACACTTCTAGCACGTATTTCAGCACTCTTTAGGGGGTGCAGAGGAAGGTACAAGAAATTGCGGCATGTCTTAGTTCTAACTTACCTGGAATCCCTGTCTAACACATCAGAATTCAGGCCTTCAGAGTTCACCTTAGCTTGCTGTTTCACCATTTCCTCGTGTTCCTTCAGGCACAGATAATACTAAGAAACACCATACATGTAGTTTACTGCTTTACTGAAAGCCATTATCAAATTTAATATTACCGTAATCCTACAGAATATGACATATTTTGTCACAGTAAGATCAACTGAGGCAGTAAAAAAGGCCTAGGAGGGACTTTCCTTACCTTCATGTTAGGAACACAGTAGTCCAAGAGAGCATCACAGAAATGGTGTCCTACTGACTCCAAGTCCTTTGTATTGAAATGGGTGCTTCGTCTCTGGCCTGCAGCATCAACAGGGGCAAGTCAGAAATGAAAACGCCAGTCATATTGCTGACTGCCAGCTGTGTTACGTTCAGGATGGTGGTTGACAGCAAACTCGCATATATTTCATTGAAGGATGCTCGACAGGTCTATGACTGCCAGAGTTTTATACAGATGATATTACAGATCATAAACAAATGTATCCACTCAGAGGGGACTGTCTTTCTTTCTCACCATGCACCCACACAGCAAGGCTCTACATTCTCTTCCAGACAACTGATTCTTGCACGACTGTTTTCACTTACTGCTTTTAATTTTCCATCCACTGGTATGTTTTGTGTATTTTTATGATATATATGTAATAGCAGCAGTGGCCTGAAAGGTCACTAAATGGATGCCCTAGTTTTGGTGTTTTTTCCAACTCTCATCTTAGATCATCATTCATTTCTACCCAATAAGATAGAACACCAACAAGGGGATGGTGGCTCAAACTACCATCTTCCCTGGAAAAAACAAAAATACAGGTCTTGTTTGATGATTCCTACTAAATAGCCATGGGAAAACTGGCTCACCCAACTTCGAACCACAGACAGAGGCTTCCAAAGTGTAGCTGTTGCTGATGCCCATCTTCCACATTACAACCCGACCTGTGCCTTCTTTGCTCTTTTGTACTCTGAAACGGCAGTCTGGGAATGAGAACTTAAAAGAGAAGTACAACGTTTGCTTTTGAAGTAAAATGAAGATGCAATAATTTCATTTTAACCCTGAAAAGTTTTCTGAGTCTTTTTATCAGGTAAACAAATGCAAGTTTTCATGCTACCTTACTTGAATATTGCACTACATAATTCATAGCAATCACTGTCATTACTGGTATAACGGAAATGTAGGTGAAACAACAACTCTCTGAATAGAAGTTTATATTCCTTTTACAAGGACTTCTGAGACTTCCGCAAATCTTTTTTTTAGGTGTCTGTATTTACTGTTTCTAAACGAGCCTATACAGACAAATGACCAGCTGACTTATCACAAATCTTGATTTGGTACTAACACACGTATTTAATAAAACTCGTAATAGCTCTTCTCTCATGAGTTAACGGGTCAACAGTTTGATAATGTAACCTATCTGGAGCTCAGAACCACTTTGATATCTGAGTATAACAGCTTCAGCTGCAAGTATGCTAGTAGGTTAAGTTTTCCATTTTTATTAACCTCTCTCTTTAAAAGCAGCTTGCTCTAGTCAGATTTTGCTGGAAAAGAGCATCATTTAAATGCAGTCGTTTCCTACTAAAAAGTTATTTCTTTTCCATTTGAAATACCTTAGACAAATCGGGTGATTTTGACATAATTTTCAACAGGAAAATTTCAAAACTAGTTAACCTGGAGAAATATTTTCTAATTTTCTTAATTTCTTATTTGCTCAGTTGTTTTTACTTTTATAATATATTATAAAGCTACATCTAACACATAAATATGTAATATTTAATGCTATTTTTTTACAATGTAAAAACAAAATGCAGTTTTACTTTGACATTTCCAAATTATTTTTTTCATTATTAAATAAACATCTTAAAAAAATGTTAATTTTTTGACCTAGTTCAGCATGATCTATTTTGGAGTGCTGGAATTTTCAACGGAAATGATATTTCAAATTCCTACAATCTGCAGTTTCAGCCAAGCAAAGGTTATTTTACTGGACAAATTGCAGTTTTTCAGTGTATATGATACTTCTATAAAAAATCTGGGATCCCAGTGGGTGTCTGAAGGTTTAGGTGAAGTTTCTAGACAGAATTTTGCTTACCTTATCTGGGCAGATCTTGCTCAGCAAGAGTGGAAAGACACGTGGATGCAAATTTGGTGCTTTTGCCTGCTGCTTTCTTTCACAACCATACAAAAAGACATTCTTTTTTCTGTTGTGACCATGGAGATCACAATACAAAAGAATGTCACGTTCCTCCATCACTCTGTAATATGGGACAACATAGAATATTTTACTAAAAGCGTTGTTTTTTCTTTCACCTCAGAAATGTAAGTCTGAGCAAATAAGTTGCAGAATAAACATCGAAGCTCATGTTTAACAAAAAGAGTAAAAAAATCAATGAGTTCATACTCTGAGCTTTAAGTTAAGCCTTTGGTATGCTAATCATAGTCAGACTGCTCAGTTCCCTGCAGGATCAAAATACTTGTCACAGTACAGCATTAAGATATAAGAGTGTATGCATCTGTAGTCTTCGTCTACTTGTTCTTAAGTTTTCACCGGTTAGTTATGTTCACATATTTCAGAAGCTGGACACCACCTTTCAAAATAACAGGCCCTCAATTTTGATTTTTTTGTTTCATGTAATTTCGTCGATCTCCTTCTGTCCAGTAACTGCATGCATGGTGTTTTTCTTCCACTCTCCTCTCCTCTCTGTCCTTTTAGCCGTTGGAACCTTAAGGATCAGTTATATACATCCAAATCTGTAGATGTGTACTAGAGCATGCTGTAGGGCTGAAACACCCTATTCCAGTCCACAGCTCTTTTGCTCTTGTACATATGCTGAATTATACATGCTTTACAATTACGAGATAGAAGCACAAACAAGCAGCTCAGAACGATGGAGCAAATATTCTTCCCCTTGAATTAAGGGCAGAGACATTAATTTTTACAATGTGTTGAGATTCTACAAGGCATTGCCACTTGATTAGCTTTTTAAAGAAAATTTCCAGGAAGACATGCTCAGGTTTAGCTACCCACACCCCCAATGACCAGTTCCTGTTAAAGCAGAGTTTTATGGGGAGGATGTGATGGCACCAGAGCAAGTCATCTTGGGGCTTTCCTCTGGGTGGGAGTTGGAAATCCACGGTGGAATTAAAAAGGAAGCAATAGTAAACACATCTGTCTTAGCTGACAGTAGCAGAACACAAGCTTGAAGATCAGTAGCATTTCAGCACAAATTAATTAATGTTAATTGCAGTGCATTCAGAAGTGCATGCTCTCTTCATATAATAAGCCAGAGAGAGGGATTCTCATAAAGAAGGAGAGGCACAATGCTCATCATCTTTATGCTACCTACATGCCAAAATATTTATTTGAAGGAAGACAGGTTTTATTTAAAACAGGTTGTAACTAGCACTTCATGAAAAACATTACATCTACTAATTTGGACACTGGCTTCTCACACAATAGTCTACTGTGTGAGAAGGCTTTGTTTAATGCCAGAAGGTTCAGTTTAATACCCAAAGTATTAACGTCTATGTGACTAGAGGTCTGCATCAGAAATCAAACATATTCATAGCAAAACATACAGCACACTTGACAATCTTCTCTGTCAAATGGACAGCTGGGTTCTATTCTGAACCTAACTGCATTCTGGGACATGGCTGTACGCCAGAGGAGAAGAAAATGATAGAGAAATTAGAACTTTAATTAGTAGAACTTGGCAGTGGGCAGAAATATGTTGAAAATATTCTGAAGAAACCTCTTTAACTTTGGAGTTATAACTCTCAACCAGAAAAGAGAACTTGTATTACAGGAAAACGTGCAAAACGCTATGGGGGGAAAAAACACTCTGAAATGCAACACAGTGTAAATGTAAGCACAACATAAACAAAACAGTCCGAAATTCTTGGGTGCAGAGCAAAGATGTGAATAATACCAAAACAACACGGGACAAAGAGAGTCACATTACCATGGAAACACTGGAAAGAAAAATTATTTATCTTAAAGGGAAAGAAAATGAGGTTACCTTTTGATCATGTTTCGGGTATACCAGATGGAAGGATAAAAGTCCTTCAGGTTAGATTTGTATTTGCGGTTCAAGTCCTGACCTGCTAAAGAGCAACGGTGATTTCCCACAATGACACCATCTGGATTCAACATCGGTACCACTTTGAAGACAAAATTGTCCCGGAGCACTTGAGCATTGCCTGAGCTGCCAAGAATGTAATCCAGAAAGCCTTTCATTATCCAGGAACTGTTAGTTTCCCCTGGATGCACCCTTGCAGTTAATATCACAGCCTTCTTCTTTGTGTCCTTGCCACCTTCCTGGGGGTTGGTGATTGTTAAAACATATACTATGTTTCTTGCCAAAGAATGGCACAAGATGTGGATCTTGCAGAATTTGGACTTCACTGGATCTTTAGAGATGGCTACCAGGTACTCCTGTAGGTTGGAGTAGGTGTAAGGATAGCAGTGGGCAAAATAGCAGGTGTCTCTGTTGTGAGGGAACTGAAATGTCCAAGTGAGTGAGAAATACTGCCGTCCACCTTGGCCTGCACTGTTTCTGTAATACTTAATTTCATTCCCTGTCCTCCGCCAGCCAACGTTGTGTTTCTTGGCATCAGCTTCTGAGTACAAGAGAGGGCGCATCCCACGTTTATATAGGCTGTTGGGCTTGGTGAAGTTTGGAAGTAGAACCATTGCGTGTATTTGCTTGTGTAGAGGTCAGTGCGCAGGGTCAGCTGGTACTCAAACTCATTACTGGCAGGCAGGAAGAAGACAAACAGTTGTGATGCCGGTTAGCACTGCAGTAAGATGCTGCATCACATAATGCAGATCGTCATGAAAAAGCACTCTGCAGTGAATCAGGTATAAATCTGGCAGATTTACACCATCAAATCAAAGTCTAGGCCATGGCCGAAAGGGATGTCTAATTGGACTGAGTCTGTCAACAATGCAACTGCTGGCTTCCTTAGGACTTTTAATAATAATTAGGACTTTAAAAAGACCTCTCCACTCTAGGCTTTAAAAGGAAGGACTTAAGAAAGGTATGTGAGTTTGCATAGGTGATTATCACCTATAGAAACCATTTGACACTATGCAATGGCTATCAGATCATCTCATGTGAAGACTATTTGAAACTATTTTCAAAACTTATTCAACCAGTTTAATGGTTGAAAACAAACCCAGAGTAACACATCACGTTCACAGACTGATAGCAGGCCACTGATAATAACAGCTCTGAAAATAACTGTCTTAAAAAAAAAAAAGAAGAAAAGACTAGAAACTTACACTTTGACCACTTTCTGCAAATTCCCACTCTCAAACCGTGCTTCAAAGATCAATGTGTTGTCCCCGTTCTGATGGAGGATCTGCTTAGAGGGGCAGAGTCCTCTCACTCGAGAATACACAAAACCAGAGTCTTTGTTAGCTAGTGGAAAAAAAACAGAACAGATGCCTTTATTGCAGCCTGAGTCATTTTACGGAAGATATGCATCCTTCTAGAACTTCCATCTAGAAATGGGCAACTGCATGCAGCTGAGCTTCAAGGCATATCTTGAGTAAATGCCAAAGAAATTATACAAAGATTTTGCTGTCCATTCCTTCTTAACTTTATGGATTTAGGGCAGCCTAAGATCTGACTCTATCTTGGAATTGCCTGTGTCTCTCTGTATGAGACAAGGGCAATTCATATTCTGTACTCAGGCAAGACAACTAAGTTAAGTGGAAAGACCGTAGGTCCTAACTCCCTCAGGTCTCTTCATCAATTAAATGGGCAACTTCTCAATTCAGAAATCACATGCAGCTAAAAATTGTTGCCATCAGGTTATTTTTAAATCTCTATATTCAATTCTTCCTGTCTAGAGGAAAAAAGATAACTCCCAGACTCCCCCTTCACATTTTAAGTGATGTTTTCACATCACATTTAGCATATAGTTTGAGCCCATATCTGCTTTTGCTCTGTTCTGCTACCTTGTTCACCGTTGCTCAGATGAGAGGCTCACAGGAGCACAACTGAACTTTTTATTACATTCTTTATTACCGGAGTTCATTAAAAAACCAAACTGCTAGATTTGTCATCAGTAAGACTTTACTCTTGCCTGAGAAGTTATTATTTAGGTTCCAGAATATTCTTTGCTTAATTTTAAGGGGCAAGGATCCTCTGTTTACAGAAACAAGGCAATAATTATTCTTAACATTCATTTGTGTTCTCCGCATTCACGCTCACTATAGTGGCAAAGCTCTTTGCTGTGAAGGTGTAGAATACTGCAGCAATCGAAGCTTCTTGTCATCTCCAACTGTACCCACAAAACGGACAGAGAAGATGTGCCTCTTCTGCCAATAGCTGGGAGCCCAGAGACCCTGCTGCTGAATTCAGCATAACCATGCTCGTGACTCTGGCTTGACCCAAACAGTGCAGGAGCTGCACTCTGACACTTGGGGCCAGCTCAGAGAGAAGTAGGACAGGTGAAAACTGCAAGTATTCCACACTGCAACTGTGTACTGTGAGAACATCGGTTTCACACTGCTTCTAATGGACCGACCCATCCGATCTCACAGAAATGGCAGAAATTCCCTGCTAACAAACTTTCTTACTGGCAAAACGGAGGCTGTATACTGGTAGCTGGACACCGATTGCCAAGCTGTTGTATTCTGAGCTCTTGTATTCTGGCTTCTCTCTAGCTCCTCAGTGCCAGATGCAGCTGATGAGAAACTGCTGCCCTACCACACTGTCAAATAAGGGGGACTGATCTTGTACCATACAACACGACTAAAGCTGTGCAGCCTCCATTCAGACCAGAACTGCGTCTGCCCTTGCTTCAGGTGACAAGTGACTGTGGCTGTGCTACAGAATTATTCTGAAGCAGTCTCTCTTATTCTCAGTTAGAGAAGTGCTGGCTACACCATTCAGGGAAGTTACCTGAAGATTCCCATGAGTCATTTCTTTATCCTTGAATCACTGTTGCCATGCACAGAAGGTGCCATATTCAGTGTATTCTTCTTAGTGACTTAAGTTACTACAGACCCATACAGTTTTTCATTAGACAAGGAGTGTTCGCTCTCCTGGCTGGGAAACCCACCTAAATGATTACTTTCTGTATGGCTGAAATTCCACTCACGGTTTCTCTCCCCTTCAATTCTTGCCTTATGCTCTTCCTTAATATCAGGGAAGAAAAGTGTTTCAGCAGTAAATCCAGTAAAATTGTTTGTGGAAACATCTGCCTCAGTCAAATGCTATAGAATGAAATGCATAGAAAAAAAAAAAATCTGAGATCTCCATCATGATATTTTGATTTTTCGTCACTGGAGTCACTGCTGGAATGTATTTTTCCCTCCCAAATTAGATTTTAGGAAGGCCGTAAGAGCTCAGCAGGAGGTAGTTCCTAGTCACACAGTAGCTCCCAGCTCCTGCTGAATTCAAATTCAGTTGGAATCCAGAGATGAGAGTTTCTGTTCACCTCAGCATACAATGGCTCCTTGTTATACGTTAGTCAATCTGTGGTTCTCATGCCATAACGCTGCATGAGTGCGGATCCCTGTCCTACCCTACAGAACTTCCCTGTAAGGACAATTTTAGGATTCTTTAGATTAAATTTATTGGCCAGGTAACTTAGATGCCAAAGCTACCAACCTGAAGATTTCCATTGCAGGAACAGAAAGGGAAAGATGAACTCCACAGGGCTCCAAGGTTCTACTCCTCCTTCCACCTGCTCCTGTTCCCAGCTGGCCACAGCAGGCAAAGAGCCTGGCAGCCCAGTTAACGCAAGACAAGCAGAGAAGGGGAGGTAAATGCTCCAGAACTCTGAAGTTCTCTGCTTCTCTGTGGGTCTTGCTACCAGCCAAGCCCAAGGCTAGGAGGAAAGCCGCTCTAGTTAACGGCTGCAAGTACCTGCATTCTGGCAAATTGGAAACTTCTGCTTGCTAACAGCAACTGACAGAAATGATTTGTACTGCTACTGAAATTACACTTCAAATTCAAGGCAGTGAAAGTACTACTACAGTCACTTAAAAATGACCATGTAGTCAACAGAAGTGACTGTCACTATCCATGTGCCTAGGTACCCAGTCTTCATAGTCATAGCAATGAAAGCTAGCACTGATTTCCTAAGGCTGCTGAACAGTTGCTACTCAGGAATCTGCTAACTGCCTGTAACTGCCTGCAGAAACATCATTCCTTAGGAGCAGAAGGGAGAACTGGCCACTCCTATAGGCAGAAGTTTTCTCTTTCTCAGTTAGGAAGTTTCATTTGTAAGGTCTGAGAACCACAGTACCAAAATACACCCTTTACTAGAGAATAATATAGGCCAAAACAAGAACCACTTTCAGTCACGTGTGTGAAGTTCAAGTCAGTAATAAAGTATATGGAAAGTTGGACATTTAAGGAACAGCAATTAAAAGGTAGCAACAGAAATCACCATCTTCGTTTTCAAAAAAGGCAGGAAACTGGGACTTGGAGTGTTTCTCCCTACCTTTATCCCTTCCAGACAAATAAATAAATTAGCAAGCCAGTTGCAGAGGACAGAGGTTCTTTTCCAGCCACAGAGCTGTTACCATTTTTCTTAGTCAGAGGTAGCTCTTAATTTAAGAGGAAGAGGTGAAAGGTAATAAATCCATACTGCAGAAGCAGGGAACTTCTAAATAAGCATGTCAAAGAATATTAGTGCTTTTCAATATATTGCAAACCTTTGCCAGGTGTGTTAATGACACCTGGAAGGAGGTCAGCTCCCCTTCTGTTTCACACATCTGAAAATTTGGTTGCCAAATCTAGTCAACCTAGAATTGCAAAACTATAACATCCCTTCTTATCTAGGTAGCGGTGGTCCAGGACCTAAATCAACAACTGGCTAAGTTCCAAGTTCATTCAAGGCAATTGCATCAACTCAGAAAACACAAGAAAGAATAATGATGATTAGAATAATGGTAAGAATAAAGAAGAATAAAGAATAATGATAATCAACTGGTGTTGATGGAATAAGGCAACTACTCCCTCCTTAGTTCTGTCCAATTAATCTTTCCCAGACCTAGAAGCCTGTAATCAAGCGCTGATCCAACCTGGACATATTTTGTTTTGTTTACAAGGCTTGAAAAACCATTATAGCAAACAGGATAGTACAAATCTTTTCCCAACACAGACTTTAGTTTCGACCCTGCAGTTACGCAGTTCTCACCTTTTTCACTTTCTCATGGATGTTAAGTAATCCTTCTGCACTCATATTTTCATAACAGACTTGTTTCAGGGTGGTTCATACTGCTTTTCATAGAGAACAATGGCTTGCACTGAACTGAACTTCCGAGATAATTAATAATATGCACAGAATATATGGATGAAGGGACAGCTTATAACTGAATTCCTTCCCTAACTATAAACATTTTAAAGGATTTATTCCCAAGCCCTGTTGATTTCAATGGGCTTTGAATTAGACTCACAAAGGAGCTAAGATGGTGGCATCAAAGTAGGGGCTGAATCTATATGCAACTGACAGCAACATTTCTCAGGGTACTCCCACCTTCTTCTGTCAGATAAATTACAGTGCCCTCATCAGCGGGTTGGTATGATGGCTTCATCTCCAAACCTGTTGGAGTGTACAATGGCTCAGGCCTAGGGGGTGTCCAGTCTGAAAAAGAAAAGACATACAAAAGGAGTACAAGCAGGAAGATTTTATTAGACTGTTTATAAAATGAAGGACACACTGAAAATTTAGCAGTTCATCCTATTTACTCCAGCTTCAGATAAAGGACTAGGGAGGCTCCTTTTTGTTGCAATTAGTTTGGATAATGTCTCCAGAATAGCACAACCCACATGACTTCCAGGCTTGGTTAGTTTGGTACTTCAAGCAGAATATAAGAGAGATTTCTTGTTCAAAGTTCTAGTACCTGCCTAGGTGTCATTTTGACATGAGAGCTGGGAAAAGACTCATAAGACAATTCGGTAAATATTTTTCTTGTATGCCAGCAAATACCAACAGATAGACTTGAGATGAGATGGGTGGATTTCAACAATGACATATTGTCTGCCACTAAGTTCTGGGGCTTATGTCAAAGATGAATTTATAAAACAATTAACAACATAACTGGAGGATTTCAGATTTCTCTGTAATCTGTTGAACGTTGCTACGTCATGTTTCTATGTACAAATAAAGACCATTAAATTCAGCAGTAGGGTAGTATTTCAGTATATTAGTGAAGTTCTAACAGAGACATGACATGCTTCAACCCGTTTTCATTTAACAGATTAATACCAATAACTCACAGCCAGGCATCTCAGTAGAGATCTCTACTATTTCTTCTCTACCCTCAGCAACAGCATATAATAGCCTTATCCAAAAATGGGCCCAAATTTCCTTTATATTACTGTGTTCAAATCAAAAAGAAAAAAAGCAGTACTGTTCCATAGGGCTTCCAAAACAGAAATTTTCATTTCAGGTAATTCAGAGATGCATCAGTAAATCTGTTTGGTGATGTAAGGGCAAAGTCAAAATTGTGCACTGCTGATTAGAGGCATTAAAGGATATTTAAAGTGATTAAAGACATTTAAAACAGTGATTTCTCTTCAGTAAGGCTCATGTCCCTGCTGAGTTTCTTGGACTCAACTACAGTTCGTAGGAATTCAGACTCTGCTGATCTGTGCAGAGGCTGCACGTGCTTTAACTCCACAGTTTGACTTTTTGATGAAGTATGAGGGGTAAGGGAACAATAGCAATTCTTATCCAGCCTACTCACTGGGAATACCTATCTGAAGTTTTTCACAGTTGTATGTACATATATTCACATTACGATCTTTCCTGCATATTTCTATGAACTGTGAATGAGCCATGAACATCACTGAAATATTATCTTTGAGTACCTCAACTGGTACCGTTGGAGAAGGAAAAAAAAAAAAAAAAAAGAGAGGCAGGTCACACCTTTCAGGTTTTCCATTTACGTGAAGAAGACAGATTGGGAAAACTTGTGACTGAAGTGTATGTCCAGATACAAACAGAAGCTGAGAGAAAGCGTTCCTTTTTAAGAGGAAGCTGATAATACTATAGAACCAAAAAACATTATGATAGAAGTTCTGATATACTGTAATGCCATGTATTGTTTAATACAAACACCAGCCATGACTAAAAAAAAAAAACTAAATAGAATTATAATATAACAAGAGAGTGGAAAAATGGAGAGAAAAATACAAACATTACTCTTTTGCTCTGTTTATTAATCTCTGCTTTCCAGTGCACGCTTGTTAGCTTTTATTAAAAACTGAACATCTTACCCTTTGAGTTTTTGTGAAATTTCCTTACTATATTACTCGTGGCAATCCTATCCCATTCCACTCAAGATACTAGGATCTATTTTGAAAGAATAAGGGCATAGACATTTCAGTCCCACCTCTGTGCACTTCTGATTTCTACAGATCCCTTCCAAATCACAACAGGTTGTATTTATAAAGCACAGGGACTGCTCAAGTCTTCACCATCTCCTAATAGGTATTGCAGTGTCTTTTGTATAGAATGCATAAAAGCAGTTACTAGCTTACATTCGTATGTAACCATGTAGCCCTGTAATACGGTATTGCCATGGCTACCAACAGGCCATAAGCTTTGTACTAAATTTGCAAGGCCTCAAGACTGAGGCTTGTCAGGCTTGCTCTGTCTGAACTTCACTTTACTTGCCTGCAGCTTTGTTTCACTTAGTTTAGCTGTGACAGCAATTTCTCTGATTGGCCAGGAGTCTATGGCTAATTTGTTTTACTTGTGTTTACCTTCTGTGTGGTACAACCATAGTTTTATGCAGGCAGCAGTAACAAGCAGCTATTCTATGCAGAACGAGGTATTTACAATTCTAACACAATGACGTAGTGCAGAGAAATATAGGCCTGCTATGACAGCAGAGGCCTTGAGACGTGGAGACACAGGACACGGTAGAGGAACACAGGCAAGAGATGATAAGAGATGGAGCACAGGCCTGGCACTGGTGACCCCATGGTTTTAAACAACTCGCCCATGGTCACTTAAAGAAATGTAGACCTCGAGCTGGACAAAACTGGTTGGACAAAAAGAGAAAAAGGAAATAGCATCTAACATATGTAAAGGGCACCATATATAGTAAATTCAGATTTAAAATGGAGCTGCAGCCTGATGAACAAAGAGAAAGGTATAAAAGCGTGTTAGCAAACATATAACAATGACCTTGAGAGGATCATAAAGGGAGGAAGAAGAAATCACCAATATGAACATAACATTCCTCCCAGCAAGGACTCCAGGTGCTGACAACTCCCCCCACCAGCAGAATGAGGCCACCCCCCTTAGGACTCAGGGGAGCAGTGGAAGGACGAGCATAACACCAGGAAAAGGGTGCAAACGAAGCATGTGTATAACAACTTTAACTGATTATTCTTTCTGTAATAATTAGATCTGAACTAATAATGACTTGACTCTTAAGATTTCACTTACACTAACAGTAAATTCTTAGCTTTACTTTTACATTTAAGGTGTGCTTCCTCTTTGCCCATAAACAAGATACTGAGCATAACACACAACTTACCAATGTGCTCAATTCTGTCCCTGATGACCTCACATTGGTGTGGCCAGTGCACTAAGGAAAGCTGATCTGCAGATGATAAGCCATGAAGATCCTGAGGCATGTGAAGATGGGGTACCATTCTCTCTGAGCCAGACGATAAGAGAATCTGTTTTGTCTTGGAAAAAGATGAATGCAAACAGAATCTGTAAGAAAGCGGAAAAAAGGCTCACATCAGTCTCTTCTACTCTTGAAGTAGAAGCTGAGGACAGATCACCTGCACAACATTAACATAATTAAGCATGGTATAATAAAATTACATTCCACTGAAACGTAAATTAAATTCAGTGCTCCACGCTATAAATCACACTGAATTTAAAGGTAGCATTAAATAACCAGTTAATTAATTAAACCACAAAGCACACCAAATATTTAACTGTAAGCAAGAAATAATTCCTTTCGGCTCCCGTAGAAAACGCTAGCATTTCTCAATATTATTACTGCTTTTATTACTAGTGTGCTATGGTAAAGCCTACAACCTCAATGCCTGCGCCAAAATCCGTACTGTGGAGCATTATACAAATACAGAACAAAGCTTCTTCTACAAAATTGATCACACAAGGAACAGCACATAATTGTAGTCACCCAGAGTGTATGCAATAATGAGATAGTACTGGCTAGCACGACAGGAAAGGTAACAACCTGGTGCTATCAAGAGTTTTGTAAAGCATCAGAGATATTTACAGGAGGTAGGAGGTCTTTCTTGTCAGCAAGGAATTCCTCACAGTTAAGAGAAGCCACTTGAACGAAAACAAGACAGGCAGAGAAAAAGCTTTGAAAAAACATAGTAAGCAGATGACTGGGACAGTGGTATCGTGCACTGGCTATACCTCTGCCCAGAGTTAGTTGTCTTTGTCACAGAAAAGGAAAGATTCACTTAAAGTATTCCATCTGTCCACAACCACTTTCTGCCTAGAGCAGACCAAAAGATAGGAATCTGGCTTCAAGGGAAATGTACTTTATTCATCTTGTATTTGCTTTGAGCTTGCATCAGACACCAGTACCCCTAAAACCTATCTGGACAGAAAAATTTCTCATCAGCTTTAGACCCGGTTTCTAGGCCTACTTCTCCTCACAACAAATAAAAGACTATCTGAATACAAAAGATTTTCACTTTAAGGATCTGGTTTCAACTGTAGATTATATCATCTGTAAAAAGGAAATGAATTAAAAACAAAACTGCTGAATCCATTTTTAAACTCTAGTTGATACCTAACTCTAGTGGATACTTGGATACTATAATATAACTTGCCCAAAACTGTAATTGCTGATCAAGGGCATGCTGCAAGACGGGACTGTTCCTTTATGTTCATATTAAGTTCATATCTAAGTAATTACTTATCAAGGTCAAGAACCATAAAGTTTGACTGGACCTAGCTCAGATTCTGTTTGGAGCTTGGCAGTTAAGTGAACCTTAATATGTCTTTCCCCTTTCCTCCTCCTTTCACCCTTGGGGTCTTCCAGTGAAAATGTAGGGGAATAAGTGAAAGGGTCCTAACCTGTAACAACTGCACACTGCTGAATATCTTCTACTGTAAATAGATTAATGAGATCTTCATCCTAAAAAAATAAAGTACCAAAATAAAATCAAGACTCCCACAATAGGACAGCTTGCTCCCGTTTCCTTTAAGAGAGAAGCAACAGCCTCTGTTCTGGTTTATGTTATAGCTCAAATAAGAATCAGGCTGAATCTGCATACTTATTTACTCTTGCTTTATTCCTGGTTGCCTGTCTAATGAGATAGGCTTTCTTCTCTTGTACAGTACTAGTATTCATACTATTGTGTAAAAAGCTGGAACGGAGAACTAATATAAAAAAAAAAAAAACGTTTAGTTTTCAGCTGTGTTAACTAGCATTCTGATCAAACTCATCAAACAAATCTACTAAAGTGCAGAAGAGGCAATGGAAACCAGTAGTTACAACAGCCCTTTTGAGAGCAACGCAGATTTATGCTACGGTCATCCTAAAACAACAACTAGAATGGGAAATGGAAAAGGAAGCACTCTGAAGCCCAAAGCGCACATGGGCCATGAAAAACAATCAACTGCCCTGGGTTAAAATTGAAGCATATTGGCACAGCAACACAGAGAAACAGTGCTTGTCCTCTTTGCAGTGCTTAACATTTATTTCCTGGGTTTGCAATCCATCTCCCTTTCATTAACACCACATTCAATTACAAATCCATCTTCCTTCCTGAAATATGAACAAACGTTGCTAACATCAAATCTGTTTCGCAGCTGGTGAAAATTCTCCCAGCTTTATTTATTGCTTCTATTTACATTCACTACATTTGCATATATAATACACGGCTTCTAAAATCTGCTAGTCCAATGGCAGATCAGGAGCTTGATTTTTACAGGGAAAGAACTGAGAACAGTTCATGAACCAAAGCACAGACAAAATCGTAATTTAAAGAAGATGGAGAATTTTACTTTGCTCAGTACTGAGCAAATAACTTGCCTACTACTAGTGATGAGCTCTTAGGACAGACAGGGCTCTGTGTGGTCCCATACACAGCAAGATTCCAAAATTCATTTTATGGACAAGGAGTGCTCTGTGAAGCGTTTCAGGTGCCTGTAGAGATGATTTGTTACTGGGACTGTTTTCTGACTTTCAACAAGGTGGAGGATTAAACTATTTCATTAAACTATTTTTAAAAGTTCAGAATAGGATCAGCGTTAGAAGTTCAGAATAGTTCTGTATTGCTTGCTTCCAAAAAAGTGGTTGATTTAATTGTCTGAAGATATTATTTAGTGTGAGGGAAGACAGTGCAAGCAATCATGAACACTGGAGAATTATGCGCAGGATGTCTCCTTGAAGGTGGGGACAGTTTGCAAAAGTAGTCTAAGGCCTTTTGTGCATGGTAAATGTGAAGAAATATTAGAAGCTGTAAAACAATATAAGACACGAGAAAAAAGGGGAGCCTTTGAAATCCACTGAAGATGAGAATAAGAAACAATCATTATTAACGAATTACAGTAGAATTGTTATATCCTATGACTGTGTCACTACATTTGTGCAATATGAACTGAAGAACAAAGACTGTTGCATTTTAGCAGTTTTGAGAAACCAGACTCCCTGTACAGATTTCTCATGCAATCAGTCTCCAAATAAAGTTCATATGTCTGAATCCTTCTTTTTCCACCTCACTGATTATTTTGGCAGAAGTTTAGTTTTGCTTGGTTTCACTGCTATGTTTTCTTTCTTGTCTGCACAAGAGAGTAGAAGGGAGAAAAATTAAGAATGCTAAAAGTGATCATTAACTCACTTAAATGAACAGTGATATTCAGGAGTACCTTCAATTATTTTTACAGGGCTAGGCTGCACAAAGAAATTGCCCTTTTAAAATAAGGAGCTGAAATAAAGATTCAGGGAGCTTGCCCAGAAAGCAACATGAGGTATTACATCAGTGAGCTTATTCTAAGCACACAGATAAGGAAAATGAACCAAGGGCAACTTACTCAATTGTACTCCTCACCGACTAAGTGAGCTCTCTTTGGCTTACTCCCAATCTTCTGACATCATCTTCAAAAACCCAAACTTGCTTTTCTGCAGACTTAAGAAACACACTGCTCTTTCAAAACGTGCGGGGGGGACCCACATCCCCCTGCAACCTAGCCTCCTCCCCCGCTAACTCCAGGAGAGGCTCTCCCTGTCCTGGCCACCCCGCTGCCAACCGCCACAGGCGGGGGGCGGGCCCC